TTTCATCACAAATTCACAAATAGTTTGGTTTATACATGTAGTCTGAACTTTCTTCAGAGAATTGGGACAAAAAATAGCCAAATTGTTTTGAGTAAAAACTGAAAATTTACTTCAATTTTGCCTTTTGGCTCCATAATTAGGGTACATTTCCAGAAATATTGAAAAATGTACGAAAAAAGATTGTAATGAAAAGATTCACACAACATAATTTATTAAGACACCATTTGTAATGTTAATGCTATTCTGCCACTAACATGTACCAACCATTTTGGAATATTCCCTTTTGGTGCAAGAACAGTTCATGTTTGAATATTTTCATGAAATTCTTTGTGATATTTTTATACTGTTACATAATTTCATGGTGTTCCTGTCAAGCAAAAATCAATTTTTGTCACCTTTTCCCAAACTAAAATCTGCAAGATTGTTTCCATATTGTTTCATTAATTCTGATCAAGACATGGAACAATTAGGAAAATACATGTATGTTAATTTTTTCACAAATTGACAAAGAAATTAAAGAAAAATTGGCAGAACGTAGCTCCAGAATGTTGTTGGGAAAAATCATGATATTCATTTACGAGTTCAGCATCAAATCTAATATACAATTTTCAGTAGCCAAAAAAATATAAATTAAAGAAAAAAAATGTTTTTGTTTGTTTTCTCACAGTCACATCACTTCTACGAAAATTGAAACAACAATCCAGAGAATCACTAGAAGATAAAAGACCACAGTTAATCCAAGCACTTCGAGATTTAGGAGATTTTTATTTAGAACTGAAATGGGATTTTCAAAGTTGGGGTAAGTATATGAATCATAGCAACCCTGTATCACATCGCATTGTCTCTGTCACAAGATTTTGACATGCATCTTTTATCATCTGCGATTGTACCTGGAAATTCCTTCTCTTCAAAAGTCGGCACAGCATACGTGTTGAGGTGACAAAATACCAATTGTTGGGACATACCATTTTCACATAGGGGTGTTCCCTGTTTGACATGTAGAAGTTCTGAACATCACCAACTGATTTTCCAAACAAAATCTTTCAAAATTAAGTACAGTTTTATATTAACTCTTTGATGTTTAATTTTTGTCAATAAAAACAATTCAATCCCTTTAGAGTACTATTAAATTTGACAAAAATCGGCGTTATTTCTGGTCCAAGTTACTGTATTTTTTGATTATCAATGATTATCAATGATAATCATGAAATTGGTATAAAAAAAAATGTTATGATATTAAATAAAAATTATTTAGTATAGTTTTCGTTCTATTGTATATACCAATTAAAAGCCTTTCTGTCATTTTCAGTTCCTTTAGTGTCGCGAATGCTACCGTCAGATATTTGTAAAGTTCACAAAAAGGGCAGCTGTATACGAGTAGATTCAACGCTAGTAGACTTTAATGATATGAAATGGCAGCGGGGAGATTTAACATTTATATTTAATGGTGATGCTAGACAAAGTAAATCATTAGTAGTGATAGATAACGAATTAAAGGTTTACCAATGGATAAGGCCTGATGTAAGTATACAGTTTGTGCTGCGGTTCAATTTAATATTTCACGTGGGTTTCTTCATTCAATAGGAATATTAGGTTGCATGGCTTCAAATTTCGTGTTCTGAAGTCACAAAATGTCAAGACCATGTACTCTGTGAATTTTCGAGCCCTGAAAAATTGGTATTGGTTTGAATTTGTTCAAATATCATGTAAACGAACACTGTATTTGACATGTGTTGTAAAAGTTGCTCGAACATGTTGTCGGGCATCGACCTTATCTTTTAATGCTCATTTCGCTGTTCCACAATCTGGTTCCAAAATATCATCATTCATGGAGCAATGCGAAAACTATTGGTTTTGTCATTATCTTGAAACAACGAACATTTACATAACCCTGTATGACTGCGAATCACATCGCAGAATCCAAATGTTGATCAGATTAACCAAAATATTTTCCCGTTGATAGGACAATGAAAGCGAAATTGAAGATGAAGTTGATATCCTCATGAGCAGCGATATTGTCACGGCAACGATGTCTACAAAACCTATTACATTTACCAGAGCACAAAGCGGTTGGTTATTTCGAGAGGACAAGTCTGAAATGGTCGGCCCTTTTAGCGCCGATTTTTACATAGTTAATGGTATGATGATAGAATCCAGGAAAAGGTGAGAAATTATACAATATTAATCACAGGTGTAATTAAATTTTATGTATTAATAAAAGTTTACTCTTTCTGCAATGCAAAAAATACAGATTTATTTTCAACATAATGTGCAATAAAACTGAAATTGTATAAATTAATTAATGCAAAATAGGATCAGATATTAATAATCTTATAATAAAAATTAATACAAATAGAAAAAATAACCTCTGAAAAAACTGTTTAAATTCCGGGGGGGGGGGGGGGGGGGAGGCCTTAGTGTCCTAGCAGATAACATGAATTTTACTGTGAAATTATTGTAAAATCATTGTAGCAACTCCAATTGCTTTGATACTTGATGTATATATGTTTATATTTGATCATTTTGGGATGACATCTTCAATTCTCCAATTCTGGTATTTTTACATTTTTTTGTAAAATGTTTTATTTTCGACTTCTTTTTTAAGCCACCTGTCCGATTGTGAGATTTCATTACTACAATGTATATTTCTAAAGGATGATTTTGCGAGATATTGCGTGAAATGCAGGACCGAACATCGAAAAAATCAAATAGATTTTGAATTTCTTTTTTCTAGCTCAATGTCGAAATGCCATGTCTGTTCATGTATACATTTCAAATGTGTATAGCACAGTAAAGAGCAGTGGTCATTGTGCCACACATGCGTGAGACATCGGTCTTGTATAAACAAAAATGTATAAACTAAAACTGTTGCGCAGAGTAACAAATAAAAACTTACGAGACGTTACCTTTTAATTAGGTAATTTCTTTGGTGATTGGAAGGTATCGTGGAAGTCACTGGCAGTAAGTCTTGCACAGGTCAAAAGTTGTACTTATGATTTCATTAGAAGAGCGCATTGGATTGTGGGAAATCAATGTTCATCAACACAAACGTTGCACATGCACAGTGCAACAACCACTGTCCTTTAATAAGGGTGAAAAAACCTCCAGCATTAATCAATAATGTTTTGACTCTGACCTTTGTTTGTTTGTTTTGACTGTGACCTTTGTTTGTTTGTTTTGACTCTGACCTTTGTTTGTTTGTTTTGACTCTGACCTTTGTATGTATGTTTTGACTCTGACCTTTGTTTGTATGTTCAATTTTATGAATAACATAGAATCTCGTGGTAAGCGGAAAATGGTCTATTTTTGTTATTTTTTTGGAAAAATTGTATTTTTGACTTCTTTTTGAAAACAGTTTTGGCAGATACCTAGTGGATGAGGAGAAGACATGCTGTGATGTACACATGTAACTAGCTGGTGTCGTAATTGAGCATCGATTTCACTTATGCACACTTAGTACATGTTTACTTTGATTTAACATGCCATGGATTTGATCTTATTTATTAACATGTAATTATATTACTCTATGGACCATAAAGAATAATTCTTTTTCTTGTTTTACTTTTTTTATTCATGAAAATAGAAGAGAACACTTAACAGATGAAGATGTTCAGAAAAATAAAGCAGTTATGGACAGTTTCAGTAAAGGCACTGTGGTTGAGGGCAGTATAGAGGTAAATATGTGTATATAGTAGTGGTACATATCTGTAATAGATGTAGAGGGCATTATAGAGATAAGTTGTGGACAGTTTCAGTAAAGACACTGGTTGAGGGCAGTATAGAGGTAAATAT